GGTTCTGCACTTGGTGTTGTGAACTTATATAACCACGATCAGGAGTTCTTAAATATTTAATGAAATGAATATTCAAGTATTCAAGTAATATTCAACTACTGCAAAGAAACAGAAGAGTCTTTATTGAGATTCATCACACACAAGAGAAAAGTAAAGAACTACTCGTGTCTAGAGAAAAAGCGTGAAGAAGCGGCATTAATCTCCTCCTTATGACATCCAATATAGAGACATTTGTTGTGGTTTAAATCTTTTTGCTCTCCTAATCTTTAGCTTGAACTGAATTTAAGTTTTATCTGAAGCAGGCAACATCACTACCAAGAACATTTCAACAAAAGAAGTCAACCTACCATTAAGTTGGTCATGTTGGTTGTTGAGTTGGTTGTTGAGTTGGTTGTTGAGTTAGACTTACCCTCCAGTGGGAATATCCCATATAGTTTCTAGTTTTAGAAATATAAATGAGAAAATGGGAGATAAAATAGACAAAGAAATGTATAAAAACAATTTTAGCAACACACAAGAAAACAAGGTAAAAGAAAAAGCTGAAGAAAATAAATGTGTTTTAAGATGCTTTTAAATGATGTCTACTGGCAAGTTGTAACATATGTTGGAGCTAAAAATCACAACTTTTTTCACCTACCTTTGGCTTTTCGGTCTTAGTTGGAGGTGGCACTGTGCCTCCGTCAGACAACTGAAATTAAAATATATAGCACTTGAATTAAAACAATACACAACCTTAAACTAGAGACACAACATTGGTTGTTAATATCTTTTTTGCCTTTTTGTTAATTCTGTTACTGCAAGGTCATTGACATTAGATTTCAAAGCTGTTTCATAGAGACAGCAGCAGTATGATAAATAATCCAGTTTATTCACTCATTCTACCGCCTGTATCTAACAATTGCCTGCTGGTTAAGCAACAATCCTACAATGTTAAATATACAGCACACTAAATACTATCTAAAGGACTCATGTAGACTACCTTTCAGCTAATACAAGCTGCAGAAACTCAATTGTGTGCAAAGTGTGTTGTGTTTAGTAGGTTAGAGCAATACGTTAGAGAATAACACATAAAATGTACAGAGCAACAGCAGTTTTTAAGTTATTCTTTTCAGTCAATCTGAGAAAATCCCCCAATTTTACCACACTAGCTTACCGAGGCTGCCAGAATGGATCCCACCAAACACAGTAGTATAAACCCTCTCATCTTGAACGTAAATTAGCCTCCGATCACATACATCTGCTTTATAATGTCCATGTGAGTAGGTGGAGTCTGTTACACTTTTGGACCTCAAAAAAGTGTTTAATATCAAAGTCCAACTTGGTATTTCTGTTTGCAAATGTGAAAAAAAGTTACTCAAAGTCTACCTGTTGGGTGTTTACCGCTTCCCATTTTAAAGTTATATAATGATCACATCTGGTCACAAGTGAAAAGCATTATACTATGTTTGTACCAAATGTACTGAGGTTGGACAACAGATGCTTAGTATCAAACTAATGACAGGAAATCACTTTGAATGTATATTTATGAGGTTGATTTCCCTAAAGAGTTAAATTTGTTGTAATATT